CAGCCATCATTGTTGTTTGGTGGATCCGGGCTGGGGATTTGAACCCGCCACCTTAGGTGTACGTGGCTGGCGCCTTAGCCGGTCGAGCTATAGGCGCTGAGCGGAGACCTCAGCTTATTAGCGCACCTCCCAGGGCCTTGAGGATCAATTCAGCAGTGGAAGAAATGGCCTGACCTGGTAGCCACCGGCCACGCCTGGCCAAGGCACACGGGACTCGGGAGCGAATCTCTAATTGTATTGCATTTAATGAGCATTGAGATGCAGCTATGCTCAGAGCCACAGTCCCCTGAGCACCACCCTGTGGCTTTGGGTATGTGAGGACCCAGTCTGGGGCCACATGACACCTGTCCCCTCTGCTGGGGCTGGCATTGGCTCTTCTCCTGTCCCGATGGTCCTATCAGCACCTTCCAGCAGATGTGGAGGCCGGTGGGGTAGACAGACAGGCCTATAGGGACCGTGGGCCCACAAGGGTGGAGCATAGATACCTGCAGACATTGACTGAGACCAGACAGGACAGACAGCCTCCCACACATGCAGCTGCCCCCGCCCCTGAAGAGTGGAGACAGAATGGGTCAGAGGCCCCTCCTGGCACAGGGTCAGTGAGAAGGGGGACAGACGACGCAGACAGTCACAGCCACAAGAGACGCACACGGAGCAGTGCAGCCTGAGCCCGCCTCTGGCTGCCCAATTTATCCAGCACAGGGGCCCCCTGGACCCCAGCAGGACCAGGGGTCACGAAGCTGAGCGAAAGTCCCTGTGTCCATACCAGCCACCCACCCAGACCAGCTGCCCCATGGGTCCTGCCCTGCTGGCTGCAAGCCTCACATCCAAAGGGCAGTGTGAGGTGTGGCACTGACCCCACTGGATAACTGTGCCAGGTGGGGCATCTCAGGGGGGCATGAGGAAGCCTGCACCCCCTCAGCACTTTACAGAGCAGGCCCCTCCAGGGTACCGCTTGGTGAAGCTATTCCCTGCTAACAGGGCTGTGGCTGCCCCAAGCCAGGGACAGAGGCACCACCTGTTACCTGGCTGCAGGCTAGCACCCCAGAAGGTGGGGTCCTCACTGGCAGAGACCACTCCTCACTCCAGCACCCAGAAGCCTTCCGAAGCCTCAACCCATGGTGGCCCAATGCTGCTGCAGAGGCCTAGTGGCCCCCAGTAGAGGAGGCCAGAGGAGACCTGGGCCCCTCAGGAGTTGGGGAGGGCTGGGGCAGGCGGGCACCACCATCGGGGAAGGGTGTGGGAGGCACAGGCAGGCAGGGACCACTGGACACGCGGGGAAGAGTTGGGGACAGGCAGCAGGGACCACGGAACGTACCAGAGAGCCCAGAGGCCCCGTGTGTCCTCACCTGGATTCAGCTTTCAGGGCCAGCACCTCCTCCCCAAAGACAGAGCAGACGAGAAAAGGGCCCGAGAAGGGCAGTGACAGTGATTAAAGCACTTGGGGGCGGCAAGAGTGTCCAGATGAGGGGGCAGAGGGAGAGAGAGAGAGAGAGAGGCTGAGACAAGAGCCATCGGCAGCTAAGCTACGGCGGCAAGCAAGAAATTGCACCAGACTGAGGGGCCACGTGGCAGGGTAGCCAGGTCCGGGTCCTGGGGCAGCTGGGTTTAGGGTGAGGGTAGCTGGCACAGGGCAGGGGAGGAGCCTCCCCAGGCTGTCCTGAGCCACTGATAGGGCCTAGTCCTCATCCTCTCCTACCAACAGTGATACCTGCTCCCACTTGCACTGCATAAGTGAAGTGGACGAGTGCCAGTGAGCGGCTCTTCTTAATGCCCCGCTTGTCCTAACAATGCCAAGGGCTCCACTGGTGCCACACGGGCCAGCCCAGCTCTCCCAGCCCCAGAGCTGCTGATCTTTGCAATTCAAGGCACCAACCCTAATCCTCCCACCGTGGGACTGGGAGAGTGGAGACCTGCATCCTTCTCCAATGGGCTGGGAAAACAGGGCTCAGCCCAATTCTAAGACCCTGGCCCCAGCCTCAGCATCTTGTCTGAGTCCCCCCAGTTCAGGAAACACTGGAGAGGGTAGGTGAGCACCCCTCTGGGATCAAGGTCTGCAAGGTATAGGGCAGGAGGCAGCCTAGCTTAGAACAGCCCGGGAAGTCAGCAAGAGGACGCACAGGTGGATAGGAAGTCCTCAGACTCGAAATCTGTGAAATGATCATGATTTTCTTTTTAATACTAAGAAAATGGCAGACCTTCTCCATCCCATCTCTAACTTGCCTGTTACACACAGGACCCTGGGGACCACCAAGGGATCAGGGAGTGGGAACTGACCTTGACCTCAGCACTGCCACAGAGCAGATGTGAGGCACAGAGGGAATGCTTGGCCCTCCCACTTGCTCCACAGACTGTTGACAAACCGGAGCCTCTGCCTGCATCAAGTGAGCCCCTCCTCCCACCGGCTGGCCCCTGGTTGTCCTCCCTGTCCACCACCAGAGTGACCAGGCTTGTGCCTAGAGCAGAAGGATCCCTGTCAGAGTCCCCAGGGCTGGGCTCCTGGGTGAGTGAGGGGAACCCACCCAAGAAACCCCCAGCTGCCCAGGCCACAGTGCTGCAAAGTCAGCCCAAAGCATGGGGTGGGGTGGATGAGGAAGAGTGACCAGAGGACCCACATCCTTGCCAGGCAGTGGCTGGACACAGCCCCAGGCCTGCACACAGAGGCTCCTCGGCCTGCACGGTAGCCACTGCCCACAACACAATGTGCACACGCAGAGGAGCAGGGCCAGAAAGACCAGATGGCGTGCACACGCAGACACACGCGTGCACACAGACACACAGGGGCCGGAGGCAGGAGGCACTGACCTTGGGGATGGCTCCGGCTGGGGCTCCTTCCTGCAAAAAGAAGCAGCAGAGTCAGCATCTGGCCACTCAGGCTGCCCCAGGAGCCTCTGCCTGGGCCCACCCCATGACCCCACAGGTTGGGGGCTGCATGTGAGGGGGGCTCAGAGAAGATGGCAGGTGCAGGAGCAGTCCCAGGGAGACAGCCTTCTGAGGGAAGGGAAGGCCAAGCCTAGGTCCTCTCAGGATGGACTGTCCACACAGGCCCACACAATCTCCTGACCCCAGGCTGCCCCCCTCTGCCTCACAGATTCTCCTTTTAATCAGAATCACACCAATTAGCAAAGTGTCTAAAATGAAGTGTTTGCTGAAGAAAGCTCTGAAAGGGCATCTTCACAATCAGTTCTCTGGACAGACTGAGCTGCTCTGATTCTTTTTTCCAGTTTTGACTCGATGGAGTAATTTTTTTTTCCTTTTTATATAGTATATATTTACTTATTTGTACATCATCATATTACAAAAGCAATTAATGTAATGGAAGAATCTTCCTTTTGATATTTGAGTCATCTGAAATAACACAAAACATACATTCCAAAAAAAAAAAAATCTTCGTTTGGACAACAACACAAAAAGACAAGTTAAACAACAAAAAACTTTTCCTTTCTTACCAGTGGACACTGAAGTAGACCTAATTTGATGTTCATTTTAAAATCTTCCAGAAACAAAGGCAATTTAAAACCTAATTAAAATGAACTAAAAAATTATGCATTACACTATTGGTCTCTGGCACCGTTTTCTGTTTTCTGTTTTGCTGGGGGTTCTTCTCTGTTTCTTCTCTTGCTCTTTTCACAGGTCCGGGTGCACCATTTTCCTCATGTTCATCATCACTATCATATTTGGTTTTCTTGCCCTGAAACTGCATTTTCCTTTAGCAGATCCAGGCGGGTAGCTTTACGTTGACTTTTCCCCTTAAATCTGTGACCTTTTAGCTTTGTTGGTTCAGAGATTCTTGCTGGTCTTCTGTGATTTTTTTTCAAGGCTGCTTTTCTAATTTTCTTTCCAGGTCTTCTCAGGTCACATCTCGATCCCTTTACTGCAATTGCCATTATCTGAGGGTGACCAGATGTCCCGCTTTTGGCGGGACAGTCCTGATTTTTAACAACTTGTCCTGTGTCCTGCAGTGTTTTAAAAAAGTCCCAATTTTTGGAAAGAATGAACAAAGGGGCGAGAGAACAGTAAGGGAATATACGGTTTTTGGTTGCCATATGGCTATTTCGCCAGGATATGAGTTTTATATTATTTTTGTTAATTTCATAATGTTAAACTGTAATAATAACAAATAATTGTTGAGAAGTGATGATCGAGAACTGCTTATCAAAGTTTGCATTGTTGTCAGGCCCCCCCTGCCCCCGCCCCCCGTCAATGCTGCTTTACCAATGTTAAAATCTGGTCACCTTACATTATCTGCTTCTTTGAGTTTACCCAATGCTTCCTTGACATTTTCCTTAAACAGAATTATCCTCTCTTTGGCGCCTCTGACAAAGTATAACCACTTTATTTCACTATGACTTGAGAAAAAGGATGTGCAAATCTCTAAAAGTCCGACCTCCTAAGTTACCTGAAAATTTTAGCAAGCACCCAATCTGTTCTTCTAGAGATTTCAACTCAGCAGCATCCTCTACCTTCTGGTTTTTTCTGGCTATTGTTTAGCTCTTAACTTAGCTTCTGCTTTATTTTTTTCCTTCTCCTTCTCCTCTTTTTCAAAAGAATCATCCTTGAAAAGTATTAGCAAACCAGGGGTCTCTACAAACATCTTAGCAGATTCAGGGCTATCAAACACAGCAAATATTGATCCCTCAAGTGCTTTGTGCAATGTTCTTCACATCTGAATATTTAGTACTTGAACTTTATCTTCTAACTATTCTTTTTTTTTTTCAGGCGTGTGGCAGGTGCCTATAGTACCAGCTACTCTGGAGGCTGAGGCAAGAGGATTGCTTTTTTTTTTTTTTGAGACAAAGTCTCACTTTATTGCCCTCAGTAGAGTCCTGTGGCATCACAGCTCACAGCAACCTCCAACTCCTGGGCTTAGGCCATTCTATTGCCTCAGCCTCCCAAGTAGCTGGGAGTACAGACACCTGCCACAACACCTGGCTATTTTTTTGTTGCAGTTTGGCCAGGGCCAGGTTTGAACCCGCCACCCTCTGTATATGGGGCCAGCACACTACACACTGAGCCACAGGTGCCACCCTCTAACCATTCTTTTATGGTATCAAGGGTTGCATCAGTTGGGAAGACTTTAATATAAAAAGATCTGTTTTTTACATCATCTTTATATTCGTCAGACACTTCAGGGAGGGATTTGCTTGGAGACCTTCTGATTTCAGTTTTATCTTCACTGATTTCCATGAGTTCTGCCTTGGATTTGCTCAGTGCTTCCACAATTACATTAAAGTCTGTTGTGAGACGGCTGAACCTGTTGAATTTTATTGTGATCTCCAAAGGTACTTAGCCTTCATCCCATTTCATCTGTTCCTTTAAAAATTTGTAACATGGCAAATTGAAATCTCCAAAATGATACTCAATTTGATCACAGAGCAGCCATTTGTTCATTATCACCATTTGCAGCCATTGTGGCTATCTTTAAGGTCCTTGTCCCACAGAGCCACACCACAGGTTCACTAGCAGTGACATCCAGAACTCCCAGTGCAGCCAGCTGGCCTGCTTGCCTGACGCGCTCTAAAAAGACTGGCACTGTCCCCATAAGCCCTATGGCCTGAGTGCGCAGGGCTGCGGGCAATGAGGTGATTCTTTTCCGCATAATTTTCCCGTGGTGGTGTGATGTGCCATAGACAGCGAGTGAGGTTCCAGCTTCACCAGAGCTGGTCTTCCCAGATCTCTCTCTGCCCATGAGACCATCTGGTCCCATCCACTTCTTTTGTGCTGATCATTGCTGCTGAGAACATCCACTATAAATTTAATAGGTGTGGTGGGGGGCACCTGCAGTCCAGCTACACGGGACTGAGGCAAGAGGATCGCTTGAGTCCAGGAGTTCAAAGCTTCAGTGAGCTATGATTGCACCACTGCACTCTAGCCTGGGCCACAGAGCAAGGCCACATCTCCAAAAATAAATACGTATGTGTATACACACACGCATAAAAGTGAACTAACTAGCAGGTAGGGGGCTTAGATCTTTCCTAGACCAGTCCACGAGAAGACTACAAGTGGTCACAGTGGACACATGGGCATAGGTGCACCTGGCCAGGTGTTCTAGCACTCAGCAGACTCTCTGGTGCACTTCTGAACATCTGCTGACCGGAGCTGAGAAGCTGCAGTGGCAAAGGGAAGGTGTGGCAGCCAGACCCCCTGCCTGGGACTGGGTTCCCTGAGGGCTGAGCCCTGAACCATTTCAGAGAGGGAACAACCAGGGGCACCTTCAGAAGCCCAGCCCCACCTGGAGGACAGAGGTGCCCCAGAGCACACTATAACCCCACTGGCCCTGAGTTAGCACCCTGTGACTCCTGTAACAAATAGTCACAGGGCACGCTCTCACGGTCCTGGGGGCCACAAAGCTGAAATCAAGGTGTTGACAGGGCCCCCCAATGCCCAAGGGGAGGACCTTCTGTGCCTCCCACAGCTGCTGGTGGCCTCAGGGATCCTGGGCTTGTGTCTGCCACTCCCCAATCTCTGCCTGTGTCCTTCCATGGCTCTCTCTGTGTCTCTTCTTATGTATCTGATAAAGACAATCATTTGGGGCTCACCGAGGTAATTCAGGATGCCCTTATCTTAAGACCCTTAGTTACATCTGCAAAGAGCCTTTTTCCAGATAAGGTCTCATGCACAGATCTTGGGGCATGAACTTATCTTCTGGGGGGATGAACATTCAACCCAACACAGTCCTCCCCAGACCCCAAAAGTTCATGTCCCTTTTAAGACCAGAATACACTCACTCCATCCTAACACCCCGAAAATCTCAACCACTGCAGCATCAAATCCAAAATCTCATCTAAATACCGTCAGTTCAAAAAGTCCCAAATTTCATTACCTAATATCATTTAACCAGTTAAATCGGGTATGTGTGAGATGTGGGTTGATCCATCCTGGGCTGAATCCTACATATATGGACCTATTAATCTAGTAAACAAGCTTTCTGCTGGAAGTATAATAAATAGTAGGCAGGCATAGGACAGACAGCCCACCCAGGAAGGCAGATGCTAAAGGGGTCACTGGCTGCTCAAAAAGCCAGCAGGCGGAGTCCAAGCAATCTCCAGCTCAGGAAGCCACCTCCAGTGGCTCTGGCTCCATCATCCTTCCCCCGCCCCAGGGTCACTCTCCCCTGTCCTCAGGTCACTCTTCCAGCACGGCCCCTGCCCAAAGAGTCACAGAAGTCCATGCCTCCCTTCACTTTGGCCATCTCCATCCCCACAGGTCCACACTGGCGTAAAATTCCCCAAAACCTTGTGTCACAGGGACCGATGCCATCAGACAAGAGGGTGCCCGGATATCTGTCCTGGAAAACTGCATCTTCCTTCTCGGCTTCTGCTGAGATGGCTGCTTGGATGCCTGAGTCACACCGGTCTCTGCCACAGAAGTTATCCTGCCGCACCCGTGGCCATCTCTGCAGAGCAGGCCTTGCCATAGGAAACCCCAGATTTATTATCCTTTGCCATTAGGACAGGCCTAAGACCTCCCAGGTCTTCAAGTTCTGGATTCCTTTAGCAGTTCCTTCCTCAGTTGTCTCTTTGCTCTAACCTTTTACTGCAAGCAGCCAGGAGAAACTGGCTGCACTTTCCACACCTTGCCTAGAAATCGTGGCTAGCTGCCCAACACATCACTTACAAAACTTGCCTCCACCAGGAGTAGAGCACAGCCCAGCACATCGCTGCCCCTTTCCTCCAGTGTCCACTGACATGGTCCCCACATCCTGGGGGTCCACACCAGCAGCACCTGCATTGGTGTTTCCACCCTCCCTTGAGGTGGTCTCAGCTCTGCAACTTGCACCTCAAAACTGCTACGGCCTCTGCCTAACACCTAGGATGTTAGTGCCACACGTCCATGCAGTGGCTGTGGCAGCACCTGTCTCCCAGTGCGAGGGCTGCCACAACAAATCCACAAACCACAAACTGGTGGCTTAAAACAGCAGACAGGTGTTCTCTCACAGTCCTGGAGGCCAGAAGGCCAACATTGTCCTCCAGGTCTCCAAAGGAGCATCCCCCTACCTTCTCCAGCTCTGTGGCTCAGGCATCCCCTGGCTTGTGGCCACATTGTTCCAGCCTCTGCCTGTCCTCACTTGCCTATCTCCTTTGTGTGTGTCCCCAGATCTCCTTCTCCTCACAAGGACACTTAGATCCTCATTGGATCCAAGGCCCACTTAGAAAATCCCCCCAAGTTTATGATCAGGGCTCCAGGACGTGAACAAGTCTTTGGGAGCATGGGCCACCATCAGACCCTCCTGCCCACTGAGGGCTCCTCAAAGACAGACTGCCTGGGGACATCCCTCAACACCAGGCCCTGGCAAGGACCCTCACTGTCCACTTCTTCCTAGTGAGCCCTCTGTACACCAACCCTGTGCCCCACCCATCCTTTCAGATTATAGGAGACCCAGCAGGTGCGGCCAGCTAAGGTGACACCCCAAGACTGAGGAGGGTATAGGGGACTTCTCCCTGGGCACACTCGAGGTCCACACCTCAGCCTCCTGCCCCTTCCTCATGTCCATCCACTGTGGCCCCTTGGGGGATGCCTGGACAGTGTAACATAAGTGGCAGGAGAAAGTGCCACCATCACCAAGCCCCATGGGAAGCACATCCCAGGGGCTCCCTGTGCTCCCAACCCCGTCTGGGGCTGAGTCACTGCCTGGGATGCCTGCCCAGCCACAAAGCCCCTGCTGCTGACCTGAAGGTGAGTCCAGACTTGCTCTTGAGGTTCCTCAGCAGCTCCAGCTGGTTGAGAGGGGGGATCAGTCTGGGTGGGAGAAGGATGAGGAGTGAGCCAGGAGCAGACCCCACCCACTCCCACCAGCGTCCTCAGCACACGCAGGCAGGGCATAGGTGTGATCAGGCTCTGGACAATACCCACCTGTGCCCAGGCTCCATGTCCACCTTCTCTCCCCAGCCCTGAGAGCCTCAGGCTCTGGATGTGGGCCATAACCAGCAGGGCTGGCAGAGGGGAATAGAGCCCGGTGGAGAACCTGGCCCTTGCAGTGTGGGCAGGTGAGGAAGGGCACTGCTGGGCCACCCTCCTCCTTCCCTCCCCCTTCCCTACCCCTGAACATTCCCAGGGCAGCACAGCTAGGACACAGGGGCCCTGGCCCCTCTCTGCCAAAGACAAGGAATCTGCTGTGCTCCAAGATCCCTTCCCAGTCCTGGCCCATAACCCCACTGCCCCCAACCACTGCCCTATTGTCACTTCCATCCCTAACCCTGATGTCCCAGGCACTTCTCCATCCCCACTGCAGTGTTGTGAGCTCCTTCTGTCCCCTGCTATCCCTCTCCCCCTATCCAGTGGGCCAGTCACTGTCCAGGTGGGTCAGGACCAAGCCAGGGCCCAGGCTCTAGCACTGGTCAGCTCGCCCATGGGGGCAGCCAAGGTTCACATGGGCTAGAGACTGTAGCCCAGTAACAGACATACAATGTTAGCTCTCAGAGCCCAACAGGAGGCCATGCCTCAACATGAGAAGTCATGGCTTGATATGGCAGGTCACACCTCAACATAGGAGGTCACACTTCAACACGGGAGGTCACACCTTAGCATGAGAGGTCACGTCTTGACATGGGGGCCACACCTCCGCACAGGTGGCCACACCTGCACGCATAGCAGCGGTGCCCGACAGCTGGCAGGCAGCCAGGAAGTTCACACAGCCCCAGTTGCTTCCAGGGGCAGTTGTGGAGACTGAGGGTGAATGTGCCAATGGAGGGGAGGGCTGGCCTGGTGTCAGCTGCAGAGGGCTGCCCACCCATGCCAGCAGGCAGCTTCCATGGGAGCCAGCACACCTTATTTCTGAGCATGGTGGAGGTGGAGGTAGCCAAGGAACCTGACCAGCCCCTACCCAGAGCAGCACCCCATCCCTTCTGGCAGGCATGGGCTAACATTTTGACCCTGTTCCCAGGAAGGCCATCTCTGCTCCAGAAAGGGTAACCCCTGGAGAAATCGGGCCCTGGTCCAGGCAGAGGGGTGGCCCCCACACTCTGCATGGCTTGCCCTGGATGTCATAATAGAGCAAGGAGCCCACTCACTCAGCAGGGAGAAGACCCTCGAAGTGTGTGACAGCTCTGTGCCCTAACCCCTCTCCCACTCCAGGCTATAGCCACAAACACAGCGGGGGAAGAGCCCTTAGAAGACACACTGACAGGGGCGGGGGCCAGCACACACACCTGTCTGTGCTGCCCGTGCCAGAGACATTCCCCCGGCACAGTGGAGAGACTCGGGGGGACTGGAGTCCAGGGAAGGAGACCCCAAAGCCCTCCAGAGGTGAGCTGCCCTGGAGGAACTGTCACTAGCTGGACAGTACCCGTAGCCCAGGATGGCGCCCTGTGCCACAGTGGACACACCCATGTCTGCCACGTCAGCTGTGCTCACAGGTGGGGGCCGTGAGCCAGGAATGGGGTCACAGGTAGGGACAAGGCAGGAAGCAGGACAGGAGCAGAAGACAACCCAAGGACAAACGACCCACAGCAAGGAAGCAGCAGCTAAGGAAGGAGGAGGGCGAGAAGAGCCGGACAGGGACACAGGAGGGAAGAGAGGGGTTCAGAGAGGAAGCTTGGGCCGGCACGGGGGCTCCAGGCAGGGTGGGGCCACAGGGTGACAAGGCCTAACGACCACACAGCACAGCAAGAGGTGCAGGGCTGCTGGGTGGGGCGGGGCTCTGCGGGGTGGGCGGGGGCGGGGCTGGGGCCGGGGCCTGCCCGACACTGCCCCACACAGAACAAGAACCACACACACGCTTTCTGCCCATGCATTTCCTACCTGGAGGCCCCGTAGGTTTGAGTTTGTGAGCTTTCAAGGGTTTTCACACACACACAAAGGGAAAAGAATGGAAATATTTTTAAAAGAACAGGTTAAGGAAAAGAAAATGAAAAAAAAGAGCCAAGGAAAGTGGGGGAAACAACAGAACAAAGAAAATTAGCACAGGGTCAACCTATCCCTGACCTTGGGCTGAGAGCAGCCGTTCTGCAGTGCTCATGGCTCATGTGGTGGCACTAAATGCCCACACTTCTGGGAAAGATGGGCACAGCCAGGCCTTCAGGGCTCCATCTTCCAGAAGGTGCCAAGTGGGATGGATGCTGAGAGAGTGGACTAGGGCAGGCCCAGAGGACAACTTCAATTGCTAAGGACCACCAAGGGCTGTAGCACCCTCCACCCAGGGACTTGCCCAGGAAGGAGGCAGTGGGCCAGCCTCTGGGCTGCCCCACCATGGCTGAGGTCAGGACGGGACCCTTAAGTAGTCCTAGCCAAGCCCTGTGCCCACCTCACCCTCAGGGAAAGCTTTGGAGGACAGAAGCAGGCCTTGGAGCAGGCAGGCACCTCAGGGCAGAGGACAGCACGCAGGGAGGGTGGTGCCCACCCCAGGGTCCCTCTGGGCCTGGGGCACCAAGTGCCTCGGCCCCTCATCTCAGACCAGCCCACCCAGAAAAGTCCTGGGGGGATGCCACACCCACTTGTAAAACAAGAACCCTTGAAAGCCATCCTCTGACCACAGGGGCTCAAGGGCCTGCCAGTGCTGCCTCTCCTCTGCCCACACAGAGGCACTTTCTGAGTCTCCTTCTCCTCTGCTGCCCAGGGGCTGCTGGGGTGTCTGTGCTCTATACTGTCAGGGGGCTCCAGGGACCCTCAGGGTAACACAGATCTCCTGGGCCTAGAGCCTCACTATGCCCCAGGGTCACTTTCCTTCCCCCACATAGAGATCCTGGTCCTGACTGGAGGTCATAACTATCTGTCCACTCTTGTAAAACCAGGGAGCTGAGGCCTCTGGGGAGGGGCGTGTCCTGGAGGCACCACGACACAAAGGAGGCCCAGCCCAGGGGAATGGAAAGCAGAGAGAGGGAAATGAAAGTGAAAAACAAAAACTGAACACTAAAAACAAAGAACAAAATTAATGCTTTGAAATAAATCACACACAGAATCTTTTTGAAATATACATACATTTTAAAGAAAAAAACAATTGATTAAAATAATGAACAACAAAAAAGGGGTTTTTTTTGTTGAAACAGATGAAAAATAGAAAATAAAACCGATGCAGTGGCAGCAGGGCGGGTGGGCGGTCCTGGCGCCGGTACCTGTACATGGGCACGGTGACGGTGCGCTCGTAGTACTGCCACGTGGAGTGCAGATCCGTGCGTGACAGGTTGGTGGCATAGAATCTCCAGGCGGCCTGAGGAGGGAGACAGGTGGGTCAGTGAGGGCCGCCCTGCACCGTTGGGTCCCTACCCCACCCTACTCTACCGACAGGCAGGACTGCTAGTCAGGCTGGTGGGGACAGTGGGACCATGACCTTGTAGGGTCTGTGTACTTGTCCTGCCCTCCACAGTCCTCACTGGACCTCATGTTGCACCACCAGGGCCACGTGCATCCATCCTCCCTGCCTGGTGGCCCAGCCAGGTAGGCTTCCCCAGGGTCCCTCAACATCTCAAGCCTGCAGCATGCAATCCACGTGGTCTAGATTTCTGTCTTACACTTTTTTTTCCCTTTGGCACTCAAATGCACATAACATAAAATGCACAGCTTTAAACACTTTAAAGTGTGTGATGCAGAGGCGTCTCATCCCTTCGATGCTGTGCACCATCACTGCTACCTGATTCCATGACTTGCTCATCATCCCAAAGGACCCCCGACACAGCAAGTGGTCACTAACCACCCTCCTCTCCCCAACTCCTGGCAACTGCCAGTTCCCACTAGCCCCTCCGGATTTCCCTGTCCGTGGAATCACACAGCACGTGGCCTTCTCTCCTAGCTGTTCTTGCTGAGCATGTCCTCAGAGTTCATCCAGATTGTGGCATGTAAAAGCCTCATTCCTTCTCATGGATACAGCACATTTTGTTGACCTATTAATTCACTGATAACCATTTGGGTTGTTCCCACTTTTTGGCTATTATGAATAGTGCTGCTACAAAATGTGTGTATAGTATTTGGCTGAAGACTTGTTTTCAATTATTTTGTGTCTATACCTAGGAATAGAATTGGTAGGTCATATAAATCCATATTTAACTTTTTGAGGAATCACTAAATTGTTTTTTTCACAGTGGCTGCATCATTTTACAATCCTACCAGCAACGTACAAGAGTTCCAATTTCTTCACATCCTCACTAATACTTACTTCTCGTTTTGTTTTGTTTTTTTGTTTGTTTTTTTGCAGTTTTGGCCGAGGTGGGGCTTAAACCTGCCACCCCCGGTATATGGGGCTGGTGCCCTACTCCTTGAGTCATTTACGCCACCTCTTTTTTTGGTTTGTTTTAATTTTAGCCATCCCAACGGATGAGAAGAGATATCTCGCTAGGGACAAATGATATTGAACATCTTTTCATGTGCTTTTGGACATTTTATCTCCTCTTTGGAGAGAGGTCTATACAAATCCTTTGCACAACAATCCTTCGGGTCCTTTGTACTTTTGTTGCTGAGTTGTAAGAGTTTTTTATATATTCTGAATACCAAACACGTGTAATATATATGATTGGCAAATATTTTCTCCTGTACTGTACATCCCCTCAGGACTCTGTAGAGTCCCACTAGCAATAAGGACCTCATGAGTTGCAGCCCTTCAACCTTGAATTTGCCTCTAGAACTGTAAAGAAATTAATTTCTTTTCTTCATAAATTAGCCAGTCTCAGATATTCTGTTACAGCAAGCAATAGCAACAGAAAACAAAAACAAGTTACAAACCAAAAATATACTACTATAGGCTTTTATATTTACCTAGGTATTTCCCCTTATGGTGTTCATATGGCTTGAGTTCAATCTAGTAACCTTTAATTTCAGCCTAAAGAATTCCCTTTAACTTTTCTTATAGAACAGGCCTATCAGTAATGAATTCCCTCAGCCCTTGCTTACATGAGAATGTTTTAATTTCTCATTCATTTTTGAAAGAAAGTTTTGTCCAATACAGAGTTCTTGGTTGACAGGTGTTTTCCTTTTTACTTTCAAGTCTTCAAATATGTCATTCCACTGCCTTGTGGCCTCCATGGTGTCAGGTGAGAAATTTACGGTTAATCTTACTGAGAGTCCCTTGTATGTGAGGAATTGCTTCTCTCTTGCTGCTTTCAAGATTCTCTCTTTGAGTTTTAGCAGCTGATTATAATGTGTTTTGTGCAGATCTTTTTGAGTTTATACTAGTTGGAGTTCATTGAACTTCTTGTATGTACAGATTCGTGGCATTCATCAAATTGGGATGGTTTCAGCCATTATTTCTTCAAGAACTACATATTCTTTTTGTTCTTTTCTCTCTCCTCTCCTTTAAAGAATTTCATTATGCTAACACTGGCAAACTTCATGGTGTCCCTCAGGTCTCTTAGGCTCTATTCATAATTTTTCTTCTTTTTCTTTCTGGTCCTCAGACTGAATAATTTCAATTGACCTATGTATGAGCTTGCTACTTCTCCTTTCTGCCTCCTCAAATATGCTGTTAAATTACCTCTAGTGAATTTTTCAGTATTATTGTACCCTTCAGCTCCTGAATTTATCTTTATTGATATTCAATTTGGTGAGACATCATTCTCCTGATTTCCTTTCATTCTTTTCTTTTGAGCATATTTAAGACAGTTAACTTGAAGTCTTTATCTAATAAGTTGAATGTCTGACATTTCCTCAGGGAGAATTTCTATCAATTTCTTTTCTCCTGTGTGTGACCCACACTTTCTTATTTCTTTGCATGCCTCATAAATTTCTGTTGAAAACATTTTGAATACTATAATGTGGTAACTCTGAAAATCAGATTATCCTCCCTCCCCAGGGTTTTATTGCTGCATGTTGTTGGTTGCAGTTGTTTAGTGTCTTTCCTAAACCATTTATAAAGAGTGTATTCTTTGTCATGTGTGGTCACCGAAGTCTCTGTTCCATTAGGTTAACAGGTGGCTAGTGATTTAACAAAGGCTGGAACCAAAGAGAAAAAAAAAATACTCTTTTAGTCTTCACAGATTGGTTGTGCGCTGGGACACCCCTTCAACACTTATCCAGGCTTGGCACCTGTGGCTCAAACAACTAAGGCGCCAGCCACATACACCTAAGGTGGCAGGTTCGAATCCCCAGCCCGGGCCTGCCAAACAACAATGATGGCTGCAACCAAAAAATGGCCAGGCGTTGTGGCGGGCGCCTGTAGTCCCAGCTACTTGGGAGGCTGAGGCAGGGGACTCGCTTGAGCCCAGGAGTTGGAGGTTGCTGTGAGCGTGATGCCATGGCACTCTACCCAGGGGGATAGCTTGAGGCTCCGTCTCAAATAAATAAATAAATAAAATAGAAAAACTGAGGCAAGAGGATGGCTTGAGCATTGTCCTTTGTATCTCCTAGCCTCTTCTCCCAAGTAGCTGGGACTACAGGCGCCCGCCACAATGCCTGGCCATTTTTTGGTTGCCGCCACCTTAGGTGTATGTGGCTGGCGCCTTAGCCGCTTGAGCCACAGGCGCCGAGCTGTAGCCTCTTCTTTCTCAGGCCTTTTGATATGTTTCTTGTCCCACCTGCATCCCCTGCTCCAGGAAACTGTTACTAACATATTTGTCTTTAAATGTTTTTGAAAAACACTGCCCAGAAGGTCATTCCAGCTATGAGATAGTCTCAAAAGGTGGATGAAACAAAGGCAAATACCTAAGCTGAACCCCCTGGGTGCCCCCTTGAGGTCAAAACAAACAACTACAATTCTTTGGGGGTAGGATCCACATTACCCACTTGGACACCAGAAAGAACAACAAGCATGCCAGCCACCATCTCCATTGCTGCCACAGAGCTAGACATTTAAAGCTCTCGTAATAAAACACAGTAGCTTGTCCTTCACTAAGCTTTTCCCTCATTGTTAAAAATTTGTATTAGGTTACAGACTTCAAAAAAAGTTGATTCTGTCTTTTTTTTTTTTTTTTTTTTTTTTGCCAGTATAATCATTGCTTTAGTGGAGGGATGAGTTTGGTAGCTCTCTATTCTTCCATCCTCAGTAACATCCCTGTTCCCTAAACTTTAATCTGGAACCTCGCTATCAGCTTTGGGGTCTGGAGTCCTGGGAGGCAGGTTTGGGGCCCTACCTCTTTACTGTGAACCTTCTCACTCCCACCCACCTGTCACCCACCCCCTCAGCCTGGGCTGGATTCCTAAAAGGCCACACCTCTGTCATGCTCCTCCCTCTCCAGCAGTTCTGCAGCTTGGCAGAGCTGTTCCTCTTCCTGGCTCTAAAGTGAGGGTCCCCCTACATCTTCCCTAGGAGGCCCCATACCCTCCCTCACATCTGTCTCAGGCTGGCCTTGCTCCTCAACTCTAGACCCCTACATTCAAGGAAACACTTTTTTTTTTTTTTTGAAACTGTCTCACTTTGTTACCCTTGGTAGAGTGCTATGGCCTCATAGCTCACAGCAACCTCAGACTCTTGGGCCCAAATGATTCTCTTGCCTCATGCTCATGTGTAGCTGGGACTATAGGTGCCTGCCACAACACCCAGCTATTTTTTAGAGACAGGGTCTTGCTCTTGCTCAGGCTGGTCTCAAATCCCTGAGCTCAGGCAATCCACCTGTCTCAGCGTCCCAGAGTGCTAGGATTATAGGCATGAGCCACTGCACACAGCCTTAGACCCCCATATTCAGCCCCTGCTTGCACCTCTTGATGGCAACCTGGCTCCTCATGCTTCATGCATCCAAATCTGAGTTCATGAACCCCAATACCTGCCCCACCCCAGGCTTCTCCCTCTCAGCAAACAGCACTACTTCCCATGCAGAAGCTCAAGCCAGAAGCCCTTGTCATCTCTGCCCCTCAGTCCTTGGGTCTGATACACACTGCCACACTCTCTCAGGCCCCCATGTGACTCAGGGCCAAGGCCAATCCAGAAAAGAGAGTGCACCTGGCAAACACAGGGCCCTCGGCAATAAGCAGCTGTAATGCCTCCCCACTCCATGTTGGGCTCAGGGCCCGACCCCAGGGGCTCTGGTGAGGCTGTTCATTCCCTTAGGCAGGGCCATCTGTTTTGGCAGGATCGAGTGCAAAAGCAGTGATGTCAAGGCTGCCCCAGGCACCCTGCTGTCCAGAAAGACAGAGACAACTCCTCAGAAGCCTTCAGGGCACAAGGGCCTGACTTCTCCTTTGGGGGTCTCCTCACTTAGCTTTTTGCTCTCTGGGGGCCATCACCCTCAACCATGTAAGTAGCAGTCCTCCTCACCCTCAGACTTAGGCAGCAGAGCTAATGGGATCACCACCAGCCTCAACCCCAGTCCCAGATTCTGAAGGAAGATCAGCTTCTCACAAAGGAAGGACGTTTTGACCAGCAACTTCACTATAGAAATTGTCCTGGAACAGCCCATCAGACCCAGAGCATGGCCATCCTGCAGCCCCAGGAACAGCTACACTACCCACACACGGGGAAATCTAAGCAGCTCTGTGTCCTGGCTGTAAAAGCAAACGGAGGGCAGGCAGGGCAGGGTATGTCTTCTGCTGAGTTGGACAAGGCACAACCTTGCTGCCACTGCCGTGCTGGGGGACAAGGTGGGCACCTCGCTGCAGTGCAGTCTGCCTCCCTGTGCCTTGCAGACGGTGCACATTGCACGGATTGGAGGTTTGTGGTGGCAGGTTTCCAGCACTGCAAGCTCACTCTGCACTACATCCCAGCAGTTCTTACAGCGTCTGTAACATTTCCCTTGGATTACATCTGCTACGGTGATCTACAATCTGAGATCCTTGGCATTACTGGTGTAATTGCTTTTGGTGCCAAGAATTGTGCCCGTTTAAGACAGTACACTTTGTGTGTCACTCATTCACTAACCAGCCGTCCCATCTCTTCCTCTCCTCAGGCCTCCCCAGTCTCTGAGACACGAGAATATTGAAATTATACCAATGAATAACCTGACAGTGGCCTCTAAATGTTCACATGAAAAGAAGAGTCGCAGATCTGTCACTTTAAATCAAACCTAGCCATGACTAAGCTCAGAGCGGAAGGCATGCTGAAAGCTGAGAGATGCTGAAAACTAGGCCTCTTGTTCCAAATTGTTAGCCAAGCTGTGAAAGGAAAAGTTCCTGATACAATTAAAATTGCTACTCCAGCGAACACACAAATGATACAAAAGCAAAACAGCCTTATTGCTGATAGGGAGAAAGTTGTAGTGGTTTGGACAAGATCAAACCAGCCAAAGCCTAATCTAGAGCCAGGCCCTGACTCTCTTCAATTCTGCGAAGGCTGAGAGGAGGGAGGAAGCTGCAGAGAAAAGTATGAAGTTAGCAGAGGCTGGTTCATGAGAGTAAAGGAGAGAAGGCATCTCTACAACATGAAAGTGTGAGGGAGATGTTATGCAGAAGATCTCGCTCAGAGAATTGACAGAGGTAGCTACACCTATCAATAGATGTTCAGTGCAGACGAAACACCTTTGCATTGGAAGAAGTTGCCATGTAGGACTTTCATAGCTAGAGAGAAGTCAATGCCTGGCCTCAAAGCTTCATATCCCTTGTTAGGGATTAATGAGTCTGGTGACTTTATGTTGAAGCCAGTGCTCATTTACCATTCCAAAAATCCTACAACTGCTAAGAATTTTGCTAAATATATCCTTCCTTTACTCTGTAAGTAGAACAACAGAGTCTGAATGACAGCGCAGCTTCCTGAATATTTTAAGCCCACTGTTGAGAACTACTGCTCAGGGGAAAAAAAAGAAAGTCCTTTCAAACATCACTACTCCCTGACAACACATCTGGTCAGTGGAGCCCTGATGGAGATGTGCAAGGAGACTGACGCTGTTCAAGAGCTAACACAACACCCATTCTGCAACTTACGGGTCAAAGAATAATTTCAGCTGCCAAGTCTTATTAGTCTAGAAATACATTTTGTAAGGCTACAGCTATCACAGAGTGACTCTTTTGATGGATCTGGGAAAAGTGCATCGAAAACCTTCTGGAAGGGATCCACCATTGTAGACGCCATTCAGAGCACTAGTGACTCATAGGAGAAGGTCAAAATGTTGACTGTAACAGGTGTTTGGTCTTGCAAGTCAAACTCAGAAGACCAAACTGACTCCAGCCTCAGGGATGACTTTTAGGGGTTCGAAATTCCAGTGGGAGAAGCAACAAGAGAACAAGGATTAGAAGTGAGGCCTGAAGACGTGACTGGACTGCTGCAATCTCATGATCCAGCCTTAACAGATGGGGAGGGGCTTCTCGCAGACAAGCAAAGAAAGTGGTTTCTTGAGATGGAATTATGAAATTTATAGGCACTTGAGTGAAATCAGTTTGTCATCCCCAAGTGAACTAGAGCCAGGAGAGCACAAATCTCTCCCTCAGGGCTGTGGCAATTCAGATGAGAGGCTCTGGACAGAGCCCTGCCCAGTGACAGCACTACTACTGGCCAAATGCTGGCTCTGAGCCTGGGGAACCACCACTCTATCTGCAGACACTCCTGTCTCTGTCCCTATCTCCTGTCAACTCCTCCTTTGGGCAGCAGATGCTCCCTGCTTCCTGCCCCCTTCCCCTTCCCCCTTTCCCTCTCCTCACCTCTCCCACTGCACCTATGGTTCACTGTGTAACCAGGTCATACCCTCTTGTCTGTCTTCCAAATAAATTCAATCTATTTGGCAATATTCCTTTTTAAAAAAAATTTTTTTATTAAATGATAACTGTGTACATTAATGCGATCATGGGGTACAGTGTGATGTTTTCATATACAATTTGAAATATCTTCATGAAACTGGTTAACATAGCCTTCATGTCATTTTCTTAGTTATTGCGCTACAACATTTATATTCTACTTTAAGAAAGATTCACTTGTACCCTTGAAAGATAATCCACAGAGGTGATCCCTTCAGTCACCCTCCCTCCATATTTGGAGATATTCTTCCTCTAATTTTGTTTAGGTCAACAGAATCTAGCCCTAGTGAAGATGCTGTAAACAGTATTGCAAGGACCACGAAGGATTTAGAATATGACACAGAAGTGCTGAGAGAGCAGGGCAGGGTTTGAGAGGCCTGAGAGAAATCTTGCTGTGGGCAAAATGCCAACAAACAGCATCCCCAGCTTCAGGGACATTGTTCATGAAAGGAAGAGCCACTTGATGCAACAAAGTTCAATGCTGTCTTCCCACTGCCACCACGACCACCCCAGGCTTCAGCAGCAACACCCTGATCGGGCAGCACCATTGAGACCCCCCAGCAGCCAATAGATGCCTGCTGGCAATTTTTACCAATAAAGTATTTTTAAATTAAGGTCTTTACATTTCTTTAGGCATGATGTGCACATAATAGAAAATAGCACAGTGTGGACATGACTCTTACAGACACTGGGAAGCCCAAAAGTCACATGACTTGCATTGTTGCCATGTTCACTTTATCACAGTGGTCTGGAACCGAGACCGCCACCCCTCCCTAGCGTGTCTGCACAGAGGACAGGGCTCTCCAGAAAGACGCTCAGGCCTGGGAAGGGGCAGAGAGGTCCCACATGCTTGCTCTATGCTTTTCCTATGCCATTTTCACCATTAATTACACATACATGTACTCGCTTTTTAAAAATGGTCAATAATGGAATGAGATTTGGGAGCATTTTGTTCTTTACACTCTGTAGCATTTTTTTAAAAATAGCCATTTGATGTCTTTATACTGAAAGATAAATACATGTATACACTAAAACAGGCTACACCCTGGGCTAAAACCATAAGCCCTACATCTCCTTTTATGTGTGTTTTTTTTCTCTTGTAAAGAGAGGCAGGAAGCCAGATGTGCTCACACCTGTAATCCTAGCACTCTGGGAAGCCCAGGTGGGTGAACTGCTTGAGCTCACCAGTTCAAGACCAGCCTGAGCAAAAAATCAAGACCCCTGTCTCTACTAAAAATGGAAAAGGTGAGGCAAGACGATCACTTGAGCCCAAGAGTTGGAGGTTGCTATGAGTTATGACATCACAGCACTCTACCCAGGGCAGCAGTTTGAGATTCTGTCTTAAAAATAAATAAATGAATAAATAAATAAATAAAATAAAGAGAGGCAGGGTCTCACTCTGACACCCAGGCACTGTTTACTCAGAGGTACAGCCTCAAATCCTGGTCTCAAGCTCCTGACTAGCTAGGGCTGCAGTCACAGGCCATAACACCCTGCAAGAGCCGTGTCTTTAAAACAAGAAAGATGAGAGAGAGCCCAGGCTATGTCCAGCTACCAGTAAATCTTGGTCAGTTCCAAGTGTCTGGCAGGTCTGACTCTGGGCAGGCATCCTGCTGTTCTGCTCACATCTGCAGGTTCAGGGATTACTTGCTGGATGCCCCACCCACCCCCTGAACAGTGGGCCAAGTGAGGTCAGGGTACAGCATGGTGGTCCACAGCCAGGCTGGGAGCCGACAGCCAAGGCTCAGCACCTGCCCTGCACCTGAGTGACCGTCTCTCCAAGCCTCAGTCCTAACTAGCTGGTGTACCCACCTCCCAGAGGCCCGAGGAAGATGACACAGGTGGCCTGGGCTCAGGTGCCCATACAGGATGAGAGACACCCTGTTGTGCAACTCAGGTGTCTGAAGGTTTCTAAACAATGAACTCAGACATTCACACTCCCTAACTTGTTCCTAAGGGAAACCAGGGCTGTGGCCCCATCCACAGACAAGGAGAAGCTGGTGATGGCCATGGTCAGGCCAAGGTTGGGCAGGCTCCACTGCTGATCAAGGTAGACAGGACAGGGGTTCCACTGGTCCCCCATGTCCACTTGCTCACCTGGATCAAGCCCGCTGCTGGGTTTCGCCTCTTCTCAAAGTGCTTCTGCCGATGCTGCTCCTGAACCTTCAGGGCAAAACCAGACCCCAGGATGCCCTGTAAAGTGTCAGGGTCAGGCCACATCCCAGGACCCACATCCATCCACTCTTCAGGGTCAGGCCACGTCCCAGGACCCACATCCCCCCACCCATTAGGGTCAGGCCACATCCCAGGACCCACATCCTCCAACCCATCAAGGGTCAGGCTACATCCTGGGACCCACCCCTTTTCAGCACATTCTGCTGCCTAGGGGTTCCACCTTCCCATTTCACTCTCCACCACTCTTTCACTCTAAGGCCAGACTAGGAGAAGCCCTTAATCTTAGGGTCAAGGAAATATCTGTCTTGTGGGTGATACAGCTGGACCCATGGTGGAACCCAGTTGTATACACATAAATATCTGTGAGCCCTTGGGGAGTGGCTTGCTGTGAAGCAGCAGCAGCCCCACCCATAGCCCTGCACCAACTGCCCTTCTGTGCCCCACTGCTGCAAGGCAGGGTTAGCAGAGGTCTTCCCTTTTGCTTTAAGTGGACGCTTTGTCCCATAAAGACTTGAGAAGGGCCTAGTTCACCAGACAGCAGTGCTGCAGCTGCTGAGACCCCACTGTGCAGCCCCATTTCAAGTAGAAACAGCTGCCAGTAGCCCACAGAGCAGCCAGAAGACATGCCGGATCCTAGCTTCAGAGGGGCACGGAGCCCTGGGGACACTAGCTTGGGGCTCAGGGGGTGGGCCCTCTCCTGGGGACTATAGACCCTGCTGAGAGCCTACTCCTGGCCCAGATCCCTCAGTAGATGGTGCCTACAGTGGCCTGTGAGGCCTCGTCTCCCACAAAGGCAGAAAGGGGCACAGGATGCAGGACTCACCGCCGGGAGAGCGAAGAAGGAAACACCGATGAGGGTGAAGGTTGCTGCCAGAAGCCTCCCGTTCCAGGTCTGCGGATACTTGTCCCCATAGCCAATGGTCGTCAGGGTGATCTGTGGGGTGGCAGGCTCTGGTCATACAAGGCAGGTAGGATGCTGGCCACCGACTCGGGGGCCTGGGCTGGGACAGATGTGGGAGGCTGCCTCCTCTAAGACCACCTGCCCAGGACCCAATAAGGCCAAGATCTGCGTGGCCACTCTCCCTCCCTATAGCCCCAAGTCTGTCCTCATCTGCTACACAGTGGAAGGGCAGTTGCCCCAAAGGCCCTGTTCCCTTTTCACACCCAAGAAGACCAGGAGAACAACATTGTGACTTTCACACCAGGGCACAACAGCTGAGACAGAGGATCCCACACATACAACCTCAGAAGCTGGGGAGCCAAAGGCATGTGAGGGACCCAGAGAAATGGGGTAGGGATGGGGGAAGCCATGCAGGGAGCCCTGGAGGGAGCCACAAGCCAAGCCAGCAAAGAGGGCAGGGCTGGAGGGGCTGGCGCCTTCCAGCAAAGAGCCTGGCCCAGGAGGTCTTAGGAGGTGACAGGCCTGGCCCTGTGGTAGGGGTGACTTAGGAGAGATGGGAGAGGCCACCACAGGGAGGTGCAGCAGGGAGGGAGGGAGGGCTTCTCTGGTGCCATGGGAAACCTGGGGAAATTTGTATTTAGAATTTTTCTTGAGTGATGGATGAGTGGGGCCTCAAGGCAGGATGCGTTTCCAGACAGCTCAGCAAGACTTGAGGTTGGGGGGTGGGCAAGCCAGAAGCAGGCACCCTACACCCAGTCCTGGGCAGGCAGGGACCACACTACACTCCTGCCCACCAGAGCAACCTACACCACAGTCAGGAGGCTCAGGACAGGCTGCACACATGGAGGTCCCTCCAAATGGGACCAAGAGGACAGGCCCTAGGGAGACAGGGCTTTAGATGGAAGATCAAGACATGGGTGTGGAGGCCTGTCCCTAGGTTAGGGAACACGACAGCAAGGCCAATGGTCCCCCACCCAGGGGGCACAGGACACCTCTTTGTAGATCCTGGAGTTTATCCCCAGGCTTTGAAGACACGTGCAGAGCAGGGTGGACCAGCTCAGCCACGCCTGACCCACACCAGGGTTCCCAGGACAGACTGGGGTCACCTCCTCCTTCGCCCCATGGTCCTAAGTAAACCAGAGGTGGTCAAGGATGAAGGAAGACAGCCCTCCATGGCCGAGAGGAGGCTGCCCCAGGCCACCTGCACACTCATAGGCCATCCATGATCACCCAGCCTCTGCAGCCACCTCTACTCCACACGCATCATGGCCATGGGAAGCCAGCAGGTGGCCCCAGAGAGACATATCCAGCCAGCTCTCCGCGAGGTCTCCTTCTAGGCCTTCTGGGCAGGGCGTGTGTCCTCAGATCAGAGGGCAGGGGCCGGGCAGGGGAAAAGACCTCCTCAGGGAAGGGAGGCTGACCCTGAGGACCAGTACTCACCAGGCCCCACCACAGTGCATCTGCATAGGTATCGAAGTGGTCGTTCTCGCCTTTCTCAGCCAAGTACACCAGAAAGGAGGCCAAGATGAGGCAAAGGAAACCTATGTACCAGGCAGTGACCAGTTCCTGCCAAACAAGAGGGGCCACATCACCACCACACCAAGGCCAGCCTGGCCCAGCGTCCAGCCCAATGCTGCCCTAAAGAACACCAGGACTGGTTGGCCCGGGGTGGCTATCCTAGGCCCCCATCTCTAGGGCTTTTGGGAAAAGCCTGGCTCCATGCACAGGGTCAGCAGGAGGGCTGGTACAGTAGCACAGGGAGGGGCTGCTGGCTTTGTGGGCCCAGCCTTGGCAGCCTATCACCCCTGCATCTCAGCCCTGGGGAACTGCAGCTAACCAGCACCCAGCATTCACCCAGGTTTTGAGAGCAATTGCTCTAGTGGCCAAAGGGCTAGACACTCTTGGAACTGTTCGGTCCCTCCCCAACCTCCCTGAGCCCCAGGGGAGTAGTTGGAAGGAGGACACCCCCTCTAATCAGCATACCAATACCCTGCAGTGTCCAGGGAGGGAGAAGGGACCCTTGGGGGCTGACACCTGCCACCAAAGCCACTACCACTTCTATGGCTCCAGCAGGTAGGAAAATAGGGAGCAGCCATCTGGTCAAATAAGACCACCCATGAGCAGGGTGGACTGAAAGCACAGCCTGGCAGGAAGGGGTTGGGACACTGGGGGACCTAGTAGCCTCTGGAACATGGGACTTATGGCCATAGCTGTCACATGGGTCCCCTGGCCAGCAGCCGCCACAACCACAGTCTAAACAACCACCCAGGCAGGTGACTAGGGCTGTGTATTGATCCAGGCACTGAAAATGCTGGAAATAAAACACCAAACGACAGAGGAACAGCCCTAAGGTGGGGCCCAAATGGACTGAGCCTTGCAGAGAAGAAGCTTTCTGAAGACAGAGATGAAGATGGCTCAAACCATGCAGTGAACCACCAAGAAGAAAGGAGGGGGGCTCATTTCCATCTGACCAGGCCTCCCAGGGTAGGCCCAGCCAGAGCTACTACTGACCCTTCGTCCCCCAGCCCAGGACTTGAAGCAAGCCTGAGCAACCATCAGGGTGAGGGCTAAGCACAGCCTCAAGGAGCCAGGCCAGGACCCTCCCTGGCCTGAGGTACCCACCTCCTGAGCAGCCAACTCACCTTGCTGTGGGCATAGACCACAGAGCCCAGCAGCTTCCAGGTGCCGCCTCTTCGGTCCATGCGGATCATCCGCAGGATCTGCAGAAACCGCAGGCTCCGAAGCGCAGATGTGGCGAAGACGTTGCCCTGGGAGCCGGCAGCCAGCACCGCAATGGAGGCAATGAGCACCATGATGTCTGCGAGGGAGGGGGTGTGAGCTCATGGGGAGGGGACAGCACCAGGGCTACAGGGGGAGGGGCAGGTGGACCAGAGTTGCATGCAGGGTGCTGGTATGGGGCAGGATGTGGGGCCAGAGCACTCCAGGCCCAGATAGACATCTACTACTGACCACCCTGGTCCTCAGTGGTCCTGAAAGTCACTCCAGAACAGGCTGCCCAGCGCCCTGTCCCTCCCTCCTGTCCCTAGCCCATGTTAGCCATGGGATCTGCCTTCAAGTCAGCACGTAAGAAGAAACTTCCAGAAGGAGCCAGTCCTGTTCCTGGGCCTCCCTCCCTCCTCCCACCTCCCTAGCCAACGCAGATGCCCCAATTCTTCCAGGGCCCCCACGCTGGGACCCCACCCCCACAGGGCTCACCAATTACACAGAACGGCTTCCTGGCGAACTTGAGTCGCCCCCGCCAGCCACGATACCGGCAGCAGCAGCCGGCGGCCCAGATCCGCACAAAGTACTCAACACCAAACACCACGATGGTCACAATTTCCTACAGGAAAAATCACAGCTGAGGCCACCTCAAGGCCATGACAGGGTTAGGGAGCTCGAAGCCAGCCTGGACACCCACACAGGTCACTCCAGCCCAGGAACCAAGTAACAGTGCAGGAGACCCCAAATGGTAACTACAAGATGGGCCCAACCCCTGCAGAATGGCTCTGAGAATGTCTGGGCCTGATGACTACTGGGGATCCACCCACTTCACCCCTCTGTCTGAAGGGGGCTCTGTTTGAGCTGGGGGACCTTGTCTAAACTGGGGGGGCCCTGTCTGAGCTGGAAGAGGCTGTTTAAGCTTAGAGGATCCTGTCTGAGAAGGGGACACCTTGTCTGAGCTGGCGGGTACCCTCTTTGAGCTGGGGGAGCCTCTAAGCTGGAGGAAACTGTTTGAGTTGGGGGAGCCTGTCTAAAGTGGGGGGAACCCTGTTTGAGGTGCAGGGACCCTGTCTGAGCTGGGGGGCTCTGTCTCCACTGGGAGGTCCTGCCCTGCCAGAGCTGTCGGGAGGTGCACAGCAGGGCTGACCTGGAGGAAGGTCCCAAGTAACTGAAAAAGGAGGTCAGTCTCCCTGAGGCTGTGCCCCATTACCAACATCAGCACAGAAATCCCTGTCCTGTTGCCATGGTGCCCACCCTGCTGACACAGGGTTGCTGTGAGCATCACAACCCCTCTCTAGCACCCACATCTTCAGGCAGCTCCCCACGCTTCGGTAGGGTAGGGGCTGCCTAAACCCTCAGGAGGGACAGGAAAGTGGGCGAAGGAGGTGGGGCTGTTGGGTCTGTGACATCAGCAGGAGGAATGAGGGGCCTGCAGGAGCCGTGACATCAGCAGTGGGGTTCCCGCCCCAGGCAGGCTCACGCCCAAGCCTGTGGCTGTGGGCTCACCAGGATGTAGAGCGCACCCTCCGAACTCTTCTCGTACTCCTTGATGGTGGAGAACACGGACAGCACGAGGCAGGAGAAGACCAGCAGGAACCTGGAGCGCAGGGCAAGACGCCCGTCAGCAGGCCAGCGCGGGTACGCGGCGGCCCGGGGAGGTGTCGCACCAAGGCCACTGTGTGGGGTCTGCAGGAAGCCGGGCCCTGTGCCCGCCGCTCCACAAGCCAACGTGGGAAGAGCAGAGGGGCAGCCTTACAGCCGCCTCGCCCTGCCTCCCAGGACCCCACAGAGACACGGGTGATGGCGGTCTGGGGCAGCCACATGGAGTCTAGTTGCTTCCAGGGTGCCCAGCCCCCACCTCGATCCCACCCTCCTGAGTCTGACTTCATCCTGACAGCCTCATGCCTTGGAAAGCCTCCAAAACTGGAGAAAAGGGGGTAAAAGACTGCCTATCAACTGCTGCACAACCAAGGAGACAGCAAGCCCCACAGCCGCCCCACAGACAGCATTCAATAACCCTTCATCCCTTTCTCTGGGAACCCTTTCTCCCATTTCCTCTTCAGTCTCAGAAGCACAAAACTTTTCCAGTTAAATCCTGTGCTAAGTAACAAGATCTCAGATCATCTTCATTCTTGTCTTGGCCTGGCTGCCAGGATCCTTGTAAGTTGCTGGAGCCTCCTGCCCACCAGCCAAGGGTTTCTGCCACAGTTACTCTTTTCCATCATCCTCCCTTTTTGATATCTCTTATTGATCCTTTTTCCACTGTTCCTCAAGTTCATGGTCCCACCAAAATTCTCCCAAATGCTCTATCGCTTTCAGCCATGCAGCTCCCTCCTCTGACACATCTGCTCCCTTGACCCACCCCAGGAAGCTGCAGCCAGGAGGCGCCTACTGCCCCAAGAACCTGCCAAGGGAGCCCAGCTTGTGGCCCATGACAAGGCCACCCACAAGTGGCCTAAACACACGTGATCACCTCACTTCCGGGGAGCAAAGCTATGCGTCGCAGCTTCAAGCTGAAGTTTAGGCAGGAAGGCCATGGTGGGAGGGCAGGAAAGCAAACTCCCACACGCTGAAGTCACTGAGCATGTTAGAAAACCCACTTTTTGTGAAGCAAATCATTTGTTTCATTTGCATTTTTCTGCAGGTGTCCTGGAAGATGCAGGGGCATGTTCAATGTCTGGTCACAGGTCCTTGGTCACAGCTATAAATAAGCCATGCTTATAACATGCCTTGTTTATGAGATGACAAAAGAGGAGCTTCATGTCTCCCTTGACCACAAGACTGCCTGACTCAGAACCAGGAGCAGAGGGGACAGAGCCACTGGCCAAAGAGCCTCCTATTCTCGATCCCACGCTGCGTCTTCAGAATCAGTCGTCAGTTCACATAGCCGGCAACATAGCCTACGTGTCCTGACGTGCAGACCCTGGCCTGGGCTCAAACTCAAGCCCCTTGCCTTGTCCTGGGCCCAAGGCCCAGGTGGTTGTTTAGAGAGGGACAGCCCTCCACGCAGATTCTTCTGGCTCTCCATTTCCAAACCACCACTCAGTCCAGCTGTCCCCTGCCTGGGCCTCCTACTCTCTCTTGGCTCTCACAGGGGACATAGTCCCTGGATACCCCAACCTGCAGATGCAATTGCTGTGAGCACACCACTCCTCAGGGACCTCTTCTGGCCCAGACACACCCCTGTCTTGGAGCTGCCCCTACTGCCACCCAGGCTAGTGTCCACCCTCCTATAGCAGTCTCTCCTTTCCTTCCCAAATAGGAGGTGGAATCAAGGCCTTCCCAACCAGGGCCAGCAAGTGGCAGCCCCAGGACCTCTGCCAGGACCACTAGGACAGGGGTACTTCTTTTCTGCTGAAGTTGCCCACCTGGGAGGATGTAGGCCTGGGGGCTACTGGCGGGAGAGCCAGTGAGTACAAGAAAGCCTACCCAAAGATGAAGTCACACACAGTAAAGCAGCACAGAGAGACCGGGGAAGAGCCCTAAAGAAGGAATTTGACCACATGATCCAGCTCTGCCTGAAGCCTCTTAGACTAAGACGTCATGTAAGCTCACCACTTAAGATGCTTTGGATTTGGTTTTTGCCCCTTGCAAATAAATGACCTGTGACCTTTTGGAGATATGGGCAGGTGAGAGATGTAGGTGTATCCTTGGTCTGAGCTCAGTGACTGACACTGCTGTGGTCATGTCCTATTCTGACCTTTGACTGCTCCTTGGGCCCTCACAGAAAGCATGCCTTGGACCAAAAGGCAAGTCCTCAGTGAGTAGAGCTCTCTGGACAGCACAGGTTAGCACTGGGCTGTGGTGCCTGGTGGAAGAATGACCCCCATACACACTGTAAGAGAGCTCTTTGGGCTGCACCACAGCGAGAGGCAGGGCCAGCCCAACACTGGAGATCTCAAGAGACACCACTGCACCCCTGCAACCCCTCAAAGGCTGGGCCTATCCCATGCTATCTGTGCCACCTACTGGGCCCCTGCCCACCCACCTTGCTGACCCTCCAAAGCCCACAGCCTGAGCCCCTGCCCATCCGGGCCCCATCACTTCCTGCTCTGTCCTGCCACCCTCCCTCACAAAAGGGACCGATGGGCCCAAACCTTCCTCCTAGACTGCTCCCGGAAGACCTAAATGAAGCTGCAGCTGCTCCTCCCAGAGCCACAGACTCAGCCACATATTAGGCGGATCACCTCAGGGGTTCAACCTGGCCTGCAGCACACCATGATGAGGCTGGACATCCCCATCCCACCTCCCACTCCTGGTGGCTTCAAGACCCTGGAGATCCCAAGGATAAATCAGGGCTGACCCTGGGTATGGAGGCCACAGATGACCTGGCCAGGGGTCACCAAGGACCTGCCAGGAAGACTGTGGGGCTGGTGGAGCAGACCCAGGAGACCTTTAATCCAGTGGGCACAGAGGGGTCTCCTGGTTGTGTCAAGTCACAGGTACCTGGCTGCCTGCCCAACCCCGATGCCCTCATGGTCCTAGGACCCCTGTCTGGGATACAGAGGCCCTCCCTCGCAGCCATCATCATGGACACACCCAGTGGACTCTGGTCCACCTGGGACCTGGCAGTCTTCTCCTGAGCACCATGCAGCTTCACACCCCACCTATAAGACTCAGGCCCTATCCCCACTGCCTGTACCAACACCAGGAGGCCAAGCTGGCCTAGGTGCTCAGCTGCAGGCATCGGCAGCGGGGACTGTGCCCTCAAAGGCTTCTGATGGCAGTGCAGAGCAGAGGGGCAGGTCCATACCGCCAGAGCTGCTGCTTAGCAAGCAGCTCTGTGAGCCACAGACGTCCAGCCCAGAGCATCCGCCAGTGGACACTTCAGGGCTCACCTCAAACACAAGTGCTTTACAAAGCATCATCACAGCCTCACTGCTACCCCTAAAAAGCTGACAGTCCCTCTTCACCACCAGACCTCCACACAGCACCCGTGGTTCCCCAACCCACCTCTAATGTTTGCAGCAGCCAAACCCAGCCCAAACAGGGCCACCTGGCCCTTAAATCTCCTCTGACCTTGGCTATCCCTCCCTCCCTTACTCTATGCAACCTGTTTGCTAAAGGGACCCAGGCCCCTGTCCATAGATGTGCCTGTGACACTGCTGAGCACTCCTCTGTCCATGTCTCCTGCCATCTGCAGTTGAGCAGAGAGGACAATTAGCCTCACCCTGCTGGGGGACAGACAGCTACATCCTACGAGGAGGTGCAGCATGCCAGGTGTCCTGAGCTGACAGTGGTCACTGACATTCACACAGGGCATGAATGTCCAGTGGCAGCAGGATAGAGTTAATCATTCTTTCAGTTCACAGGTAAAAAAATTTTTAAAGAGAAACTTCTATAATGAAAACATCTTCTGTTGGTCATCCTAAGTTTCCTATAGAAAAGACAGAATAAATACTTCATTCTTGTCTGTGTTCAAACTTGGATCTGCTCCATAGGCTGTTCTGGAGGAGACAGATTTGGGGGGGAGGGGTTGTTTATTTCTTTGCTGTGGACCACAGCAAAGGCCTAACTCAGCCATTCCCATCACTGCTCAGGTCAGCCACAAAGAAGCCTCGTTCTCACCTATGGACACCTAAGTCCTTTCCATCTCAACTGGCTTCTGCCCCTCAAGCCTTTTCTTTGGGATGCTCCCACCTCCCCTCCAGGCAGAGGGCAGGTGCTGGGCCATGTTCCTATCAGGTCTCTCCAAGACACAGCCAGCAGGACAGAGGTATGAGCGTGCTAAGAGGTTTGTCCCCAGGAATTGGCTCCCAAGATGGTGGGGTCTGCAAGGCACAAGGCTCAAGGCAGTTTGTGGCTGAATTCCAGCAAGAGCTGCCCTGCGTCCTGAGTCTGAGTTCTGAGGGCAACAGGATGGAAGATTGGTGAGGGGAGAGTCCCTTTATCTGTCACAAACCTGTCTTTGCTCCTAAGGCCTCAGCTGTGGAAGGCCGCCTGCCCTGTCCATGTAGGAAATGCCTGCAGGTAGGCTCCAGTCAGGGGTCTGGCCAAGCCCAGGCCAGCCCAGGTGACACATGAAACTGACCATCACAAGCAAGGAGAGGACTAAGGGGCTTGGGCGTGCCAACAGGGAACAAGCTGACTTAGCGGTTGAGGCACAGATGCCTAGACCACTGTCCAGCACCCTCAGCCACCAGGCCCACACCTGCAGCAGAAAGGCACAGCAGAGTTCAGTGCCTCAGTGCAGGCAAAGGACACAGACATGCCAGCCAGAGCATCCAGCCACAGTGGACAGGTCCCTGAAGGCCAGGGTAAAGGTGTTGGCCACATGAGATCCTGAGGCATGACAGTGTTTGGAAGCCAGGCAGGGCCCTGGACACCCGGTGTAAGCCTGGGTCTAAGAGCAGGCACCTGGCCCCATGCTGTGCCCCTCCTCTATCACCCTGAAGACTCCCAGCCCCCTGAGGACCCTTCAGGGGCCAATGCTTCCAGGTCTGGCCACAGTGATGGCCAACTCCAGCCCCAGCTGCTGCCCTGTGCACAGCTGTCCAGCAGCAAGTATTGACACACCAGCACCAAGAATTCTAAGGAGACAAAAACAGCATCCAGACACTCAATGTCCCCTATGCCTCCCCTGAGGCTGACAGCTCC